GGGCTTGTCTGGAAGGGGTGTCTTCTGGTTCTCACAGCCTTTCCAGGACCCCCAGGGGCTTTGTCCTATTTGCTTACCCTCTATCTCCACCTCCATTCAGGAAAGCCTGCGTGATTCTGGAAAATTCATCCAATCTGCTGGTGAGCTGATAGTGCCTGAATGATCCTACCAGTCAGCTGAGTTCCCTCTTGCCCCAAACACCATCTTCCTGGTGGGCCTCCTGGAGGTGGTGACGTCACTGTTTCCTGTAGCCCAGCCTGTGATGGGCAGTCCCTGCCTGGCCCCCGAAGGGAGGCTCCATGCCCCTTTGCCCCTCTGCCTTTCGAGCCACAGAAGCTTCTGGCTAAGAGAGTGACAACCTCACCACACCCATGGGCGTCTCCTCCCCACAGAGCCTGAGGTCCAGATCCTTAGCCAGCAGGCATCTGAGGCTCATGCACCACCTCTGGACAAAGCCTGAGGTTCTCCCACTGGGTCCCGGTGGGGACAGGACAGAGGCCAGGCTGCCGTGGGAACAGCCAGCTGTGACAAGAATTTGGGTCCTGCCGGGCACATCAGGAATAAGGCACATCTGGAAAAGCGTTTGTTGAGAGCATTGCTCTGGCAGGGCCAGACGGTGCCCTCAAGCTCCACCCAGGGCTTAGAAGCTGGGGTGGGCGGCAGTCCCCCCCTTATTTAGCCTGACTAAGGCCCACAGGCTCTCGAGGCTGGGCCTGTGCCATTGTCCATGGGAGGGGCACAGAGCCTGCCGGGACGGAGCTGGGGTGGAGGCCCGGCCCTGCATGGAGCCCCAGCTCCCAGGCCAGTGGGTCTGCAGGGGTGACTCTGGCCTCTCCCAGCTTCTCTGTGTGCCCTTCTTAACCCCGTGCTCCTTCTCCATCCACCCCCATGACTGCACCCTAATTATTCAGGAAAGTTGAAGAGGTTTCCTCACTGTCACTCCTCACCCATCTTGGCACCTCTGGGGCCTGGATTCCCCAGCCCGTGTACCTGTTCCTGGGGAGTTCACCTGGTAACCATGCCCATCAGGGCCCTACCTGACAGGCAGGCAGAGAACCAGACTTGGGCTTTGGCACTGAGTTCTAGTGCCAGCACTGCCATTCCTTGGCAAATCACTTGGCATCTGAGCTTCCCAGGATTGTGGTGAAGATGGGCCATCAGCTAGAAGCTGCTTCCTTCCTGGTTGGCCCAGATTTGTGGCAGACCAGAGAGAAGGCAGTGGAGGGACTTGGGGCCTTCCTGGGTCTGAGGCCCCAGTAGGGGACCTTCCTCCTTTCCCATTGAAATAGTCAGGTCCTAGCAACAGAGGCCCCTTTACATTATGGGAGATGGTGGATGAATGAGGTGGGCTCTATGCTGGAAATGCCTGTAAGCTGATGGCACTTTCTGGAGATGTGAATGCCTTTGGACGAGTGTAATGGTGGCACTTAAGTGGAAATGGAGTGTAATGGTGGCACTTAAATGGAGTGTAATGGTGGCACTTAAGTGGAAACCCTGCTGGCATGGGGAAGAGGGTGGGAGATGCAGGGCGTGGCCAGGGGGATGCCCTGAGGACCTTATTTATCACCTTGAGACTGGTGGGTGCCTAATTGGCCTGTGCAAAAGTGCTTTGCCTACCATGGGACCCCTGGTCTCCCATCTCCTGCCCTGCTCCAGAACACCCTGGCTGAGGGGCCCCCAGCCCTGTCCCTGGAGCCTGGTCTGGGGGGGAAACAGGGCCATCCTCCAAAGCCTGGGTGTGGGGGGATCTCAGGCCTGAGGAAGGAGCCCTGAGATGAGGGGCCAAGGGAGAGAGAGCCACTGGGGCTGGGGAAAGCTGAGTCCATGCTGCCCAGAGCAACGGATGTGGGGGAGGTTCTGGAATTGGCCCAGTGGGCTGGCTCCGCCCCCCCCCC